CTTAATATTGTAAAAGAAAGACGAAAACTTAGAAACGGCACATCAAATTTAAAACAAAAATAAATAGAGATACGCACCATAAATACAACTATAAAACACTTGTGCAGAAGGTACAAAAATAATTATATAAAAAAGAAAGTGTACAACTAGAGGAACATGCACACCGCCAAGAATCTAGAGAACTTTTCTGAAAAGTCAAGTATATATTTATCGGTTTTAGAACGTCTTTCGACGTTGTCCGATGCCTAACTTTCACGTCCTTCTATCATCCCATTGGCCGTCTCTAAGATCTCTTGTACTCATTGCTTTAGTTACCCCTTCTTTCCATGTCTTCTTGGGTCTTCCTCGTTTTTTGCGGTTTGGTGGTACCCACTGCATAATCTTCTTGGGTAGTCTTGTGTCTTCCATTCTTTGAACATGACCATACCAAATCAACTGTTTCCTCTCAATATCTGTTGATAAGTAACCATCTATTCCAATTCTTCGTCTTACTTCCTCATTTCGAACTCTTTCCCTGCGGGATATACCTAACGATCTTCTAAACACATCCATTTCTACAGCTTCTAGTTTTTTTCTGTTGTTCTCGGTTATTCTTCAAGTTTCTGCTCCATAAAGTAGACTGCTTTTAATTAGTGACTCATAGATGTTATATTTTCGCTTTATTCCTATTTCAGAGCTCCAAAGTATTCCATTTAGGCAGCCAATTGTTCTTCTAGCTTGTGTTACCCTTGTTAAAGGGTAACAAAAGTCAAGTATCTAGCGAGAAAATTCAAACCGCAAACACAGATCATCAAAGATATTAGTGGAAATATCATAAAAAACCCAGACGGTATCGCAGAGGTATGGAAACAATATTGCGAAAAACTATTTTCTAACAACGACCCACACAATAATACAGAGAAAAGAAGTTATGAAAAAACCTCAAATATTGAAATCAAAAATCGAGGCGGCAATTAAAAAACTAAAATCCAGGAAAGCAGAAGGAGAAGATGGAATAACAGCTGAAACACTCAAAAAATGGTAGAATTAGGGACGGAAGTAATGTTTAGAATTTGTAATGAGATTTGGAATACCGGAAAGTGGCCAAACTCACGTATATTCCCATATATAAAAAAGGTTTACCGACAGATTGCAGTAATTACCGCGCAGTAGCATTAATATCACACGCGAGCGAAGTACTTCTACCCATCATCAATCTTCTTCTTCAAGTGCCATCTTCGCGCTGGAGGTCGGCAATCATCATAGCTATACGGACTTTTAAGTCGGCTGCTCTGAAAAGTTAATTTGGTGTACATCCGTACCACTCTCTTAGGTTGCGCAGCCATGACATTCTACGCCTCCCTATGTTTCTTTTTCGTTGGATCTTTCCCTGCATAATCAGTTGGAGCAAGGTGTATTTCTCTCCATGTGTAATATGTCCGACATATTCTGATTTTCTTGTTTTAATTGTATTTAAAATTTCCACTTCGGTATTCATCCTTGTCAGAACCTCTTTGTTTGTGACATGTTCGGTCATGATCATTTCAGAATCCTTCTATACATCCACAGCTCGATTGATTCCAGTGTTTTCATTGATGTTGCATTCAAGGTCCAAGATTGCATTCTATAAAATAAAGTCGAAAAAACATAGCATCTCGCCAACCTAACTCTTAGTTCCAATTTTAAATCACTGGTACATAGCATTCTTCTCATTCTGTTGAAATTTGCTTTAGCCTTTTCTATTCTGATTTTGATTTCCTGAATGTAATCATTTGTGGAGTTTATCATTGTTCCCAGATATGCATATTTGTCCAGTTCGTCGACGTTGGTTCCGTTTATTAAAAGATTCTCGTTATTTCTTTGAGTTTTCGGTATTCTCATAAATATCGTCTTCTTGATATTTATTGTTAGACCATACTCTTTTCCATACTCTGCTATTCTGGTCACCAGTATCTAAAGATCTTTAATGTTTTCGACTAAGATCAGAGTATCGTCCGCATATCTAATGTTGTTAATGGTAACTCCATTTACCTTTATTCCAGATATTTCACCCTTCTTCTTCATGCTCAAACATATAAAAAACATATAAAAACATGTTTTTTATATGTTTTTTAAGAATTTTAACAACTAAAAAATCATAATTTCGACATATAAGGAAATGAGATCTCTCCATTGTAGTGGTATTTATAAATTGACGTAAGTTGAAAAATTAAAATCTTCACCAATTAGTACTTATAAGAACATTTTATTGTAGCATAGCTTCGATGATGGCTTTGTAAAGCCAAAAGCGCTCAGCTAGGAATTATTTAAAATATACACACTTCAAAAATACTTTTTTACATTTTCTTTTGACTTGTCATAAGTGTGTACAAAAAATATCAGTCTTTTGATTGTTAAATTATGAATAGGCTAGGCACGGTGAGTACGAAATATGGTTTAAAAATAAATATGCAGAAAACCAAAGTGATAATCATCGAAAGAATTAGAAACAACCAAGCGGAGATAAGAAACATGGCAGGTTACGAAGTAGTCAGGTAATTTAATTACTTAGGCTCCGTTATTACTAACAGTGGAGGATGAGAAAACGAGATCCGTCGATACATCACAATGGCCAGATCGGCAACAGCCAAACAAAAAATTTGAAGAACACTGACATCACAAAAACCACAAAACTTACGCCTTGTTCCAGCATTGATATTTTCTATCGCCACCTATTCTTTAGAAATTTGAACAATAAAAAAATCCGATTCAAAGCGTATAATGGCATTTGAAATGTGGATCTAGCGAAGAATTTTGCGCATACCATGGACCGCCCATCGCACAAATTACTTAATTCTAGCAGAACTTAATATAAAAACTAGACTCATCACAAATATCAACCAAAATATACTAAGATATATATATATATATATACATATATATATATATATATATATATACATATATATATAAATATATATATATATATATATATATATATATACATATACATATATATATAAATATATATATATATATATATATATATATATATATATATATATATATATATATATATATATATATATACTGAGTCGGTCAGATAGCTCAGCGGGCTGTGCGGCTGCCTCTCATTCGCTTTACTGTCGAATGGTTTAGTGGATGTGGGTCGAGCCCAAGCTCGGTGTACAGAAAACAAAAAGTCTAACGAAGCAGTTTAAAATTCTAGATGAATCTGCGGCTTAGACTAGGATATGCTGGGTTCTGATCGGCCTATGGTGGAGCAGTACGGCAAGAGATAAGGGCTTGCGGCTCGGTGATACTCCTCCATAGATCCCTACCGGACGGGCGTAACGCCTAAAAAACCGGATATATATATATATATATATATATATATATACACTGAGATATGTTGGACATATAACTAGAAGAAGAAAATGCATGGAGCGAATGATAGTTGAAGGTAACGTATCGGGTAAAAGATTCAGAGGAAGATCTCCAGGACGATGGTCTCAACGATACCCATTCTTCGAAGCAAAACAACACGCACAGGAGAGAGATAATTGGACAAAAATAGTTAAACAAATTACATGATGCCACAACATTCCTACGAAGGAGAAATGATTGAGTATGATGATTTTTAAAGGTTTAGTAGTATTCTAATCTCTGACGACTGTACTAACAATCGAATTACAAATGAAATACAATTTTCTTCTCCTCAGTTCTAATCCCTTTTGGGATGTGGTGATACCATCAGGCCTTTACAGTTTTTTCACGATTTCCCTCCTTCCTTCTCTGTCCTGGGCTAGTTGTTCGGCTTCATGTAACCCTTGGTTAATAAATATTTTTGTTTGATCTACTCAACGGCTTGAAGATCTTCCCTTAGGTCTCTTTTCTTTAACTCTACCCTCGACTATTAGTTTTTCCATCGTATCTGTTTTTCTAGCAATATGTCCAAAATACTGCAAATGTCTCTGTTGTATTTGTTTAAGCAATCTATCTTTTACTTTAAAGTTGTTCTAATATCGATACGTTAGTGCGATGATCAATCCAGGATATTCTCAACATGCGGCGGTATACCCACATTTCAAAAGCGTCCAGTTTCTTTTTATCCACTTTCTTTAAGGTCCACGTTTCGGATGCATATGTGGCTATGGGAAAAATGAGCGCCCTTACCAGCCTTAGTTTTGTGTGTATTGTTATGCTAGAATTTTTCCAAATTGCTACCAGTTTCATCATAGCAGTTCTAGCAATATTCAACCTTCTACGTATTTCTCTGTCACACCCCCCATCATTTGTTGTTAGGGATCCCAGGTATATGAAAGTATTTACTACTTCAAAGCCCCCAATTTCTTTAATGTGCTGAAGATTATTCCGAGCTCTGTCTACTATCATGATCTTTGTCTTACTTCTATTTAGCTTTAGTCCATATGTTTTGCTTTTTTGCTCCAAACATCTCATTATGTTTTCCATTTCTTCTTGATTTGCCGCAATTATTAAAGTGTCATTAGCATATCTCAAGTTATTGATTTTTTGACCCCCTACTGATATTCCGCCCTTCCATCCATCTAGTACCTTTCGCATAATGTGTTCGCTGTAGATATTAAATAGAGTTGGCGAGATTATGCATCCCTGCCTGACACCTGCCTCTATTCTGAAATGATCGGAATGGGTGTCGTTTATTTTTACTGTGTACTTATTATTTTCATAGAGAGTTCTAATGAGTTAGTGAATTATATATAATAGAATATGAATAAAGATATGAATAGAATTAAGTGGTGGGGTGTTCCCATCTCCGCTAGTATGGACCATAGCTGCTGCCATTTGACTTTATCGAAGGCCTTCGTGTAATTCACAAAGCACATAAGCATAGGAGTATTGAATTCACGAGTTTTTTCGATTAGCTGTCTGACATAAAAATAAACAAATAAACTTCAAACAAATTAAAACAACTAAATATGAATTAAAAATAAAACACAAATAAATAACATTAGAACCAAAAATAAGCAAATGTCGTGGTACATTTAAAAAAATATTGTTACCTTTAAAACTTTCCCATTTGTTTCTTTTACCCCAGCCATCACTGAATTTTGCCCAATTCTTTCTTTTGTCTTCTCGGTGCAAATCATAGTCATTTTCGGAATCAAAGAGAAGAGGTTCGTCATGCTGCTCTAACAAAGTTGCCATTTCTTGAAGATCTACTTTGTTATCGGGTTTCGTTCTCTTGCCCCAACCACTCTGAAATATATACATTTTTTTAATTTCAAGACAGAATAGATTTATTTGCTGATAATTGATAACAACAAAAATTACTGTGACTTTATAACTTAAACTGGTATCATAAAATTGGAAAAAATCCGTCAATCGCAATCATTGTAAAACCAATTACAAACTAAAAGTAAATAAATGTAAGTAAACACAAATAAAATAAAATACAAAAATTGAAATTCACAGTGATTTTATGTATACCATAGTTTCAAAAAACTATTACTTAAATAAAATGGTATAAAATTTATTTACAATTTTTAAGAATTTTCCAAGATGGATTTATAAATTTATAAAACCTTTTTTAATTTTATGGGATTATCATCAGTAAAAGAACTTACAAATAAGTATTGCCACGTGGTTACACACACAGTGGTTAATACGTCTATAAGGTCTATAAGGTAATTAGAGCTAACCACATAATGAAGTCAGATGAACCTTAAATTACCTTTATTCTTCTTAGAGTACCGTCTTCCTACAAAGGATGGCAATCATAATGGCTATTTTTATTTTTAAGCTTAAAAAGAATTTGGCAGGACCCTGGTCTTCCTGGCCTCACGGCATACGACCCCCAGCGCATACCACTTGCCCCTACGAGTCCGACACCAATTGGAGGTGGCACGATGCCGAAACATCGTGGGGCTCCACCTCCCCCGTAGTACCTGTGTTGCGCGTCACGTCACCCTTCCGTGAGTCCCCCCCCCGTCTGCGGAAAGCACGTAGGTGGTGGAATACCACCTTGCACGTAGACATGTCGCTGCCGAGGAATCACTCCTCTACCACTCGTAAACCATTCCAAGGTGGGTACGTGCCGAGTCAAACCTCACCACCCTCCGCGGTGTCGGCTTTGGGAGATATTTACATACCCGGCTCATTCAAGTTCAACTGGCTCTTGTGGAAAATGAGAGTAGAGTGGTCCCACGAGACGCTCGTCTCGAATACTAGGAATTATTATTATTATTATTATATTATAAGCGAGGGCAGAGGAACTAAGTCCCTATTATGCCCAAAAACAAAGAAATTTCATTAATCACCTACTAGTAAATAACAAAAATTACAAATAAAAGAAATAAAATTACAATTTTTGATTTAAAAGAAAAACAATATTTTAACTATAATATAAAACTGTCAAGTCTGTTTTTGAACGAGTTGGTAGAGGAAGCGGAGACAATGTTATCGTTGAGGTTATTCCAGCACTCAAAAACTCTACCTGGAATAAAGTTCTGTCTTTGTCTTATAGAAAAATTTTTTTTCTTTAGTTTATATCGATGTCCTCTGAGGCGTTCATCTTGAGTTATGATAAATATTTCATCGAGGTTTCCAAAATTGAATTTTAGTCTTTTGAATGTTGCAATTAAGTCTCCACGTTGTCGGCGAAGTTCAAAAGTAGTTAGGTTAGCCATACTAAGTCTTTCTGCATAAGATGGTCTTCTCGGTCCCAAAGAAATTCGAGTGGCTTTTCTTTGAACGTTTTCCAACAGAGTCTTGCCTCGAACCAGATCAGGATACCACGTTGGTCCAGCGTATTCAAGTATGGGTCTTACGTACAGAGTGTAAAGTTTGCAAAATGATTGCATTGAAACTCTCGAAACACCTCCGAATAAAATACAGTCTGGAGTTTGCACGTTTACAAATAGAGGTAATATGATCAGATCAAGGTAGGCTGCTGTTCACGATAACACCAAGATCGTTATACGAAAACAGAGATTCTAATGGCTGTCCGTTAACAAAGTACGGCACAAGTGGATTATTTTTGCCAATTCGAAGCACTACACATTTTTTCGCGTCTAAGGGTAGTAACCACTGGGAACACCAAGTTAAAATAGAGTCCAAGTCCATTTGGAGGGTTAGCAGGTTTGTGTTTGGATTGGCATATATTTTTGTGTCGTCAGAGTAAAACGATATTTTACTTGAGACATAATAAGGAATATCGCTGGTGTAAACCGTAAAAGCCAACTATTCTAGCCAACTATTTAGAGCTGCTGTAAGTAAAATAAGAATTGCCATGTTGATATCCAACCTTCGTTAGAAGATGGAACCTTAAGAAGAAGAAACCGTAAAAAGCACAGGTCCAAGGACAGAACCCTGAGGCACTTCACTTTTCACTAACCTGTCCTGTGAGAAAGATTCGCCAACTCTAACTTTGTAATATCGATCTGTCAGGAAATCATCTATCCAACGAAGTAAAGTACCGCGAACTCCGAAATGTTCTAGCTTATGTAGAAGTCTGCGCTTAGGTACACGGTCAAGGGCTTTAGAAAAATCTAGATAAACAACGTCGACCGGCTGCGAACTGTTAAGGGATGAGGTCCAGTCGTTAACACAATGTAGGAGATTGGTTAGAGTAGAGCGACCAGAGACAAATTCATGTTGTTGTGTTGGAATAACGTGTTCCTGTAGAAGGAATTTGGTCATCTCCTCGGAAATAATGGCTTCCATAACTTTGGCAACTACTGGCAGCAAGCTAATCGGACGATAATTGTTGGGGTCGAGTTTGTTGCCTTTTTTAAAAATAGGGGGAACGGAAGTTAATTTTCAATTAGGGGGTAAGGAGTTTTGATGAAAGAGGTTTGCATAATTAACGTTAAGGGTATTGCAAGCGTGTCTGCGCACCTTTTTAACAGTTTTGGTGTTAAACCATCTAAATCATCTAAACAAGTTGAATTCACAGATTCACTGTGAATTCAACTTGCTTAAGGATGCGCCGACACGATTACAGTTAACAGCAGGTAGATAACCATCATTTAATTCTTTAGTAAACACCTGTAAAAATGCTGTAAAGAGAGAGTTTCGGAAGATTCTTTGTCAGAAGAGCATAAAGTCTGGTTGGATTTTTGAAGTAGCGGAATGGAAACTTTAGATGTCATGGAGGAACGTATGTATTTATAGACTTTTTTAATGTTACCACTTTTAATAACGTTTGCTTTAAATTTTGGATTTTTAGAGATGTTTTTAAGTTATTTGAAAATCTGCGATGGCTTTGGAAATTACACCGGGCTTTAAGAAGCTCGGTGTGTTTAAATTTTGCCATAGATGTCGTTTGTGATTAATTTGTTTAATTGCTGTTCGATTTATCCAGGGTTTAAGGTTGTTTTTATAACTCTTACGGAAAATAGTATTTGTAGAAATTATTTTTTTTTGTGTTTGTGTTTTGGCTTGGACAATTGTCATTCAGCCAGTCTCAATCAAGATTAGTTTATTAATGTAGTGTGTGTGTGTGTGTGTGTGTGTGTGTGTTTGTGTGTGTAGAGTAATTGTCTTGATACTTAGCAAAGTCGACGTCATTGTCTTTGCTAAGAGACGCTAATTGTATCCGAACGTCTGCGGTTGTAGAAATTATATTGTGGACTTTATCGGGAAATGCAGTCCACGTTAATGAGAGGTCGTTTAAGTCTGCAAAAAATAAATGCTAGTAGATTTGAGAGAGTTCAGTGTCAACTTCAGAAAAGTCGGTAGTAGCATATGTTACAATGTTATTTTTGCGGGGTAATATTTGATTGAACTGGATGTGAGCCGTTATAACTGCATGATCTGACTTTCCTATGGGAAGGTTTACATTTTTAATAAAATGATTTTATTGATTTATTGGAAGAATTGTTATCAAACTTAAGGCGAAATATGTGGTTTCTACAAGATGGTACTCCATTACATTACAGAGAAAGCGGAGTGAGACAGTATTTAAATACACTTTCCTGAACGTTGGATTGTTCGTGGTAGTCATATTGTGGTGGTGAGATAATTTTAATTATTTAATTCATGAAAACTTCAAAAAGTTACTTATTATTACACTTAAAACAACTATAATAAATACTGCAGCAGTTTCTTTAGAACCAATAATGCTATTTAATATGAGACGATATTTTATGGAATGTATTGACAAATGAATTAAAGAAAATGGTGGACATATCGAACACTTACTTTGACAAAAAGTTTAACGTTATTTAGTTTAACTATGTTTTAATTTGGTTTGTAAATAAAATGTTTTGATTATGACTTTAATTTAATACAAAACGTAAAAAGTTTGATGTAAAATCCAATTATTCTGTTATTTTATCAAATCCTATTACTAAATATCCTGCTGATATATTTATTTTATTTTATATTTCATTAACTATTGACTTTGTTTAAGGTATTTTATAACAAAATTCAAAAGTATTGATGTTTTTATCTATTTTTCTTTCATTGCCTGGAGTAATTGCATTAAATCAGAATTATGCAGTGCATTGGTAAAATTCGATTATCTCGAAAACTGTTGAGTTTTGAAGTTATTAACGGGTATACCTTTTTTTTTTTGTTAAAATAATGTGTCTTTAATATTTTTTTTTCAAAAAAAACCGGTAACTTGAAGAACAAAAAAGTAAAGCGTAAATGTATGCCACGTATGTGACATATGTGGCGCCCTCTATTAGATATATTAAATTATGCATCAAATTATAAATTTTGATATTCAATAGTACCCAGCTGTAAATTTTTATACATGAATGTGTACAAACATGAAACTCATAGCCAAAAATAAAATTTTAAATTTCCACTTTCCATTCTACAACACCCTGTATCTTTTTTCTCAGCAACATTTTATTAAAGCATATTTGGCTCAATAGCCATATTTTGGTCCAAATAACCTGTCCTTAGTCTATGTTCCAATAGTTGTGACTAGCGATGTGAAATTACGTGTAATTTCAGAAATTGTAAGTTACACGTGTAAAATTACCCAAAAATTACAAACCAGATGTAATTTATGTAACTTATGTAATTTATGTTCATTGTATTAAAAAATCAATTGTTTGCATTCATATTGAATATAATAAACACAAAGTAACTACATACTTATGAAATAAAGAAAAGTGGATAAGAAATACATACAAATAATAAAGAAATGAAAACATAGGTTCTTTAGTTTGTTTTAAGCGGCTTTTATAAATCACAACTTCCTTTTTCGCAGACAACTGGAGACCTTCTTGTTATAAAACGTC